AATAGCCAGGCGAGGCTGTGTGTGTCTGTGACCCTAGCGTTGATGGGAAGAGGCAGGCAGATCCTGGAGCCTTCCTAGCCAGCCTGCCTAGCTTTGGCTAACCATCCAAAAGCACTTCTGGTTTGGTGAAAGAGCCTGTTTAAAGGAGTAGGGTGGAGAGTGATAAATCAGAAGCTCACCTTTTGGGCCAGGCAGGCCGGCCAAAAAGCTCCCGGATCTGCCTTAGCTTTTCAAAGTGTTTAAAATATGGATAAAAAGGAAGCTTTTCAGCAGACATCTCTAAATCAAGGAAGATTACACTCCTCGAGGACCCAGGTCCTCCTCATGCCCAACCACATATAACAGAGTAGTTTGTCTTCCACACCAGTTAGAGATAAATGTAGAAATTCAGCATTGTTTACGAGAGAACTACTGGTTCAGAGTTGGAGTAGACAGACAAGGAATAGTGCGCAAACCAGGTCTTAATCTTTATGTTCTCTGCCCTTGGTGTGATTTATTAGTTCAGTCATAGGAAGCATTTACCTAATTTAATGAGTTGTTTGCCAGTACATTTAGTTCAATTTACTGTGTAGCTGACTTGGCACAAACAGCCACAAAGAATTGAAGTTCTAACAATCAAGGTAAACCTTAGTATTTTGTATTAGAACCTGTGAACACACACACATTCATTTAGATTCCGCTTAGAACTCCAGAATAGTTTAGCATGTCTTTATATTTTCTCTATGGATCTTCAGAGGAACTTAGTAACCAAAAGTACTACATTCCATAATATTTGAAAGGGAGCATTCAGCCTAAGAGAAATGTGCTGCCTAAGAGTTAACTGTTGCCTCCAGGGCTGGGGCTCTGTGCTGAGGGTACCTTCCATCCTTGTAGCACAAATAATAAAATCCCAGAGACAGATACTGGGTTTCAACCTGAAAATTAGAAAAGCAAGGCAGCCAAGCCACTAGAGAAGTCTTACCTCTACCAAGGCTGGGTGATCACAGACTATGTAGCTAAGCCTCCTTCTCTCATTTTGTTTTCCCTCTAGTGCTGGGATAAAGGCATATAACTCCTTAGTACTGGGAGTAAAGATGTGAGGCACCACCACCTGGATTTGTTTCTGTATTGATCTTGTGTAGCCCAGGGTGGCCTTGAATTCAGAGATCCTACTGCCTCTCTTCTGTCTCCCAAATCCTGGAATTAAATGTGTGTGCCACCACTGCCTGACCCCTAATGGTTTAGCTTTGCCCTTTGATCTGTAAACTATCACTATACACTCTGCCCAGCCATTCTGGTTTAGTGGACCTCCTTCAGCTCTTCACCATCTCACCCGTGTTTCTTTCACTGGAAGCACATTCAAAAGCTCGAAGAACTTCTGCATTTGAATCACGTGGGATATGGTTCTGACATTAGCTCTGGTTTTGTTTGTAATGTTGTTATGAATTTAATTAATATATTTAGTAATTGTGCTTTTCAGGATTAAAATAGTAATTTTTGTCATTTTTTTAACATAGCAACAGACAAATATTTGAATATGATGGGAAGAGACAAAACAATTCTGAAAATAGCAATCCAGGTAAGATTCCTCACGCAATCTCTTTGTGGCCTTCGCTGGGTGAACACGTGCAGTTCAGAGAGTTAGATCACAGAAGAGCAGTATAAACAAAAACCATGTAAGTGACCTTTATACTTTTCCCTTTATTCTCAGTCTAGAAGTGAGGATTACATAAAAAATTAGTTAAAGGAAATTTGCAGACTAAAACTATTCTTGAAAAATTAGATCATTTAATGTTGGTCCCTGAAATCCACTGGGAAAATGATTTTCAGTTACTATGCTGGTCTTTCCCACACCCACATTGTGGCAGGTTGCACTTAGCATCAGAATGGATTTTACAGCAAATAGTTTGCACTTATTAAGAGAATGTTATCTTAGTGTTAGAGTCACTAATAAAGTATGGCAACTAAAAGTACGTACACTATGTTTTAACTGGTTTTTACCAATTTCTCTGCTAGGTATAGAATTAAAATTGTTCTGTGTGTTTTCAGAGTCTAAACAGAAAAGGATATTGTTCCTTCTTTTTATAGTAGGCTTGATATTTTTTTTTCAAGCAGTAACTTCTTTTTTCTTTCTCCCTGTGTATGTGTATTTGTGTGTGTGTGCATGCACTTGTGCTAAGAATGAACCTTTAGTTTTAAGGGAAGTTTTAGGTTCACAGCAAAAGTAACAGGAAGGAACAGAATTCCCATGTAGCCTGTGACTCCCACGCATACATAGCCTCTCGCATTGTCATTACCTGAGTAGTAGGTACACCTGCTGAAACTGCTAGCCCTACATCAGCATATCATTGTTACTCCAGCGTGTCTAGTGTAAACGAGACTTCACCCTTAGTCTTGTACATCCTATGGCTGTAGGCCAGTGTATGACGTGTGGTTACTACCGTAGCATCACAATCAGAATAATTCCATTGTCCTAAATATTCCCTGGACTGCTACTGTTTCTCTCTCCCGAAACCCACTCCCTGTCAGCCACTGCTCTTTTTACTGTCTTCATAATTATACTTTTTCCTGTGTAGTCATGTAGTTGGAATAACAGTGAATGAGTTTCCTGGTGTTTGAAACATTAAGTTCGGTACCAAGGTGATTGAATATAGTTGTTTAAGGTACCCTTGCTTCCACCACACCACCAGGCCCATCTTGTTCTGTTCTGTTTTGTAGGGCAGGTGCTCTACCACTGAACAAAGCTTCATGCTTGACGTGTGTAAAATTATGGAAAATGTTAAGACGTTGATTAGTTTGTTTAATTTATCCTTTGCATGGAATGGGATTTTTTTTTTTTAACCAGGGAAAGCCAATTGTCACATTCTGAAAGCTTGAGTTAATAGCCCTATTTTTATACATTAAAAGAAAAGATCAGATGCTTGCTGGAAATTGCACAGTACTCTCAGATTGTGCTTATTTGTACCAGGGTTTTTATCCTCAGCTGCAGTATTGACTAAAAACCTGGGAAAGCCGTACTGCATCACAATGAAATAGCTGTACTCCTGCAATTGTTCCCGTGCTGTTAGTCCAGAAAAGCCCTGCATGTGATGTGGATCCTGCTAAGTGTGCCGTCTGCTGTCACTCTGGTAGTGTTCGGTTAGGACCGTGGTCATGGTACTGGCAGCTTTCCTTTCGGTGTCAGATTTGTATACATTCTCTTCTTTCTTGGATTTGATGAATACAGAGAAGGAGGGACAAGCATTCTTAGTGAATTATTATCTGATCAGTAGTAGTGTTAGTGTTCATTGTAGGATAGCCTCTGGTGTGGTACCAGAGAAGGCTGAGTAACAATAACAATGTATTAATTTACATTTTTCTATTGTTAATTTAAAATGTACTTTATATTTTTCTTCAACAGTGGATAACGGTTCTGAAGATGAATCTTTAAGCAGGTGGGTAGGAATATATAACATTGTTAAAATTAAATGTTAACTGATTAGAGAATGCAGGGGATAGAAACTAAGATTTGTTAAGTGTTCTGCTGTGAGCAGGTAAGGATACCGTGTGGTGTGATTAACGCTTATTTCTTGCAGTAGTCACAAGAGTTTTGCAAAGTATCTGCTGTTGTTAACCCCCATACCCACATTCTGCTTTCCTTCTGACTCATTAGGCAGCAGTCACTCAGAAAGGTTACTTAGCATATAATCTCATGGTTTATTGGTACCTTACCTATGATTTAGTTGTCAGTCTATTTTTTTAAAAAAGGGTTTATCTATTTATGCTGTTTTTTAAATTATTAGTTTATGTTCATGAGTGTTTTCCCTGTGCCCCATGTGTGGACTTGGTGTCCATGGAGACCAGATGAGGGTATCAGATTTCCTGGAACTGGAGTTACAGATGGTTGTGAGCTGCCATGTGGGTGCTGAAAACCAAACTTGGGTCCTTTAGAGGAACTTCCAGTGCTCTTAATTGCTGAGCCATCTCTTCAGCTCCCAAATCCAGTCTGCTGCCCTCTGCATAGATCGATAGGGGCCTGTGCAACACTGGAATAAGATTTAGGACAGGACAGTTTAGAAAGTCAAATTCGGTTATGTTAACTTTGATTAAAAGTCTTCCTTAGAAGTAGTTTATATTCATAGCATTTGCCCTAATCATTTTGACAGTTGCAGTGGCAAGCTATGTCTTGTTTTCAGTCATCAGAGATTTTAGGATAGCTCTTACCCAGCTATGACTGTAGGACCACAGACATTCCAAATCAGGCAAGCTCTGGAGAGGAACTCAGACTGGAAGGAAGAATAGTATGCAGACTATGTTGTATTAATTACATTTGGATCTATTTATAGGATTATAAAAATACTGTTTTATTTATTTGAAATGAGTCACGCAGAGTCTAGGTTGGCCTCAAACTTGCCATATAGTCAAGGATGTCCTTCAACTTCTGATCTTCCTGCCTCCATCTCCCAGGTGTCGGGATTATAGGTATGAACCACCGTGGCCAGTTTTATACCATACTGGAGTCTGAACACAGGTCTCTTGAATGCAGGTCTCTGTGCATCCTAGCTGAGCCTTCTCTAAATCTCAGTACTAGACGATGCTTTAAATTGATTTTCAACTTAGAGATTTCAGAGAGAGAGAGAGAGATGATTTTAGGGGTGGGATATATTGAGTAGGCTTGAGGTTGATAATGGGAATTGTCCTTGACTGCTCTTCAACTGTATTCATTGAAGCGGGGTCTCAGATTTAAACCTGAACTTGCCATTGTCTGGTCTTGCAAGCCAACTTGCTTTGGGGATCCTGTTTCTTCCTTCTGAGACTGTAGTTACAGATGGGCCCCCGTGCCCCTCTGGCGTTTATGTGGATTTCTGGGGACCCGGCTCTGGTCATTACACTTGCATAGTTGAGTGCTTTTAACTACTGCATCATCTCCTAGTTCATCTCTTATTTCTTTAACTGTTTTTTTAACTTGTATTTAATTTTCATAACTAATTTTTCTCATATAAAATAAATTCTTCTTTCCCATTTTCTTTTTGTCAGCTAAGTATTCCTGACACTCTTTAGACAAAGTGAAAACCTCTAGAATTTCAGAATCTTAAGGAAACTTAGAATGTTTCTGTTGAAAATTTTTAAATATAGTTGGAGCTCCTGGGTAGTTCATCCTTTAGCAGGCAGGCATGTGGCTCCACATCTGCCGTCACCCCCACTCACAGAAGGTAGTACAAGGCCCCTCGGGTACCGGCAGACTGGAAGTGCATGTGCATGTGTCCCCTCCTCTGTGCCTCTTCCCGGCTCACGGATGTCCTTATGGGTGGGCCACAACAGAACTAACCAGAAGCACAGTCGGTCATGAACTCGTTCCGGGTTGGTGGCAGGTGGTGTCGATGTTATTTGTAGGAAGACGGTTGCTGTTTGCTGCATTTGTGCCCCTCCTTGTCTCAGGATCTGTGCCTTCGCAAGGCGAGGGTTTAAAGGTTGGAAATTGCCATTGAGCCTTGCAGAAAAGGAACCTGGGAGAGGAAACCTGTTGGAATAAAGATATTTAGTTCTTCATAAGGAAGTAAAAGGTACAATATGTCAGTACCTATGATGGTTTTCAACGGATTGATAGTTTCTGTGTACTTAATCAAGTAAGACATGACCTATTTAGGAAAAACAATTGGATTTTTATAGTTTTTAAAGTTTTAATCTCTAGAATATATACTGCCAACAATACTAGTTTGTACTTAAGTAACTTAAATTAATTTTCAAACCCTTAAAGTATTTTTTGGGATTCCCTATACTGTTTTAGGGTCCTGGAAGCTCTAGGGTCCTAGGTCTTACTGCATAGCCCTCCTCAGCCTGCAGCTCTCCCATGTAAACCAGACTGGCCTTTAGCTTGTGGCAGTCTGACGCGCTTTGTGATTGTAGGCTTGTGCCATCAGACCTGGTGTGAAGGTTTCCAGACTGAGTACAAGACCGCCATTCCTCATTCCCTGCTGAATGTTTGAGCAGGGAAGGCAGGGTCTGTCCATACTTTGGGTTGTCAGATTCTCTTCAGTTCTGGAGACAAAAGTAATGTCAGACATCGATGATGTCACTGATTTGTTCCTAGATTTCCTTTAAGAACTCGACTTAGAATTTTTGTTGGATATTGTCTTAAGGTCTTCTCACATACCCGATCCTGCTGATTCCTGGCCTTCATCGGATGAGGATGACTTCAGTCTTGATACCAAGGTAAAATGCAGTTTTGTAAAAATAATGGTTTGGTTTTGTTGAGTGTTTGTTCTCAGACTTAGTGGTGATCTATCACTGTTTTATATGGAGTACTGATCAGAGAAAACCATTTCATTGAACAATGACTAATTGAATTGCTTTTTTTAAAAATTGTGATGAATATCAAAGACTGCTTCTTGGGGAGGTAGAGACTGGAAAAGTGAGTGAGCTGGAAAATCCACAGGACAGGAAAATTCCATCAAGGAAAACATCCTGCACTACAGAAAACTGAGATTGAATCAAAAATTACTTTCATAAATGTACTTTAATATCATTTGTAAATTAATATGAATGTGACTTTTATAAGATGCCCAAATTAATCTCTGATGTGCCCAGTTGGTATAGTAAATCATGGACCCGCTGTGGTGCCTTTACATTCAAAACTGTAAACACACAGCATGAGGTTTCTGTTTCTCTTTTTCCTTGGACTCCTCTTAGTATAATAGAGTTTTTGGTTTTTGTTGGTTTGTTTGTTTTTCAAGACAGAGTTTTGTGTGTGTGTGTGTGTGTGTGTGTGTGTGTGTGTGTGTGTAGCCTTAGATATCCTGGAACTCGCTCTGTAGACCAGATTGGCCTCGAACTCACAGAGATCCTCCTTTCTTTGCTTCCTGAGTGCTGTGCTTAGAGGCGTGCACAGTCACTGCCTAGCTGTATAATATAGATTTTAGGTGATCTTTTCCTCTTTTTCTATTCTTAATCTGCATATAAATTACCTAATACCAGAAATTATGAAAGTACCCTAATTTTAATCTGTTTATTACAGTCTATGTTGAAAGGGTTTTCCCACTTTTTTCACTCTGGTTTTTACCTGTATACTTGAGGAATAGATGTTCTATCCCAAATAAAGTCTATTGAATTTCTAGAAATTTGGCTTACTTTTATATTCCCTTTTAATGTAAATTCAGGTGCATTGTATTGAGGAAATGTCATATATAAAAATATAAAGTCTATTGAATTTCTAAAAACATGCTCACCTTCATGTTCCCTTTTGATGTTTAGATATAAATTCTTATGAGCTACACTGAGGAAATGTGTCATATAAAAAAAACAAAAACAGATTAAAGAAGTATCATAGAAAGGAAGAAGGCATCAGTGTATGTCTGCCGTCCTGAAACTGTGGATTTCGATTATGAATGCGGTGATTAAGATATCCTAAACTTATTTTGAGGCCTACCCATATTGGATTAAATAATATATTTTTGAAGCTATATATTACCTATTGGAACTTTGATTAGCAAATCTTTCTCCAAGTAGGACATTAATGGGGCATTGTTTTTTGCAGTATTTAGTTTATCTTGTAATGATGTTACATCTCTCAAGTGATGTTAGACAACCATGATTGACTAATAAAGCATTATTTTATACACAGAATTAAACTTTTCATTATAGTAATGTCTAAAAAATGTAATTACAAATCATTAGTAGGGATGTACTATGAATCAAGGCTCTCATACTTCTTTACAGATCTTAGGCTTCAATGTTGTGCTGGATATTTTTTTTTGTCAGCTTGATACAGGCCAGTTTTATCTGAAAGGAGGAAACCTCTGTTGACAGAGTTTTCTGTCCCACTCAGTCCTGCAGCTGTTCAGTCCCAAAGAAATACACAGAGGTCTACATTAATTATAAACTGGTTGGCCTAGTAGCTCAGGCTTCTTATTAATTAATTCTTATAACTTATATTAGCCCATAATTCTTGTCTGTGTTAGCCATGTGACTTGGTACCTTTTTTTTGGTGAGGCAGTTACATTTTGCTTGCTCTGTGTCTAGCTTCCTCTCTGTCCAGGTGATGACTACAGACCGAAACTTCCCTCTTCCCAGAATTCTCGTTGTCTCACCTCTACTTCCTGCCTGGTCACCCCGCCTATACTTCCTGAGTGACTACTGGCCACTCAGTGTTTTATTAAAATACAATTGACAGGGTACAGACCATTGTCCCACAGCCAACCTCAATTGAGAAAATGCCTCCATAAGATCGGGATATAAGGCATTTTTTAAATTAGTGATTGATGGGGGAGGGCCCAGTTGATTGTAGGTGGGGCCATCCCTGGGTTCTATAAGAAAGCAGTCTGAGCAAGCCATGAGAAGCAAGCCAGTAAGCAGCACCCCTCCACGGCCTGTGCATTAGCGCCTGCCTTCTTGTCTCCACCCTATTTGTATTTCTTTCCTGACTTCATTCATAAATGAACAGATATGGAAGGGTAAGCCAAATAAACCCTTTCCTCCCCAACTTGCTTTGGTCATGGTATCCATCATAGCAATAGTAACCCTAATTAACACAAATTTTTCTCTTTTCATCTTCACTTAAACTCATTCTATATTTTTCCTCCCACATTTACTCTTTCTGTCCCTCTCTTACCTTGTTGTTGTTGTTGTGTTTTATTTTGTTTTCTTTTTGAGACAGGGTTTCTCTGTTGTACCTTTGGAGCCTGTCCTGGAACTCACTCTGTAGACCAGGCTGGCCTTGAACTCACAGAGATTCACCTGCCTCTGCTCTGAGTGCTGAGATGAATGGTGTGTGTCACCACCACCCAACCTCCCTTACCCTTTTAATATGACTTATTCCCAGTATAAACTCTTCCTTCAGAATACATGTCACATGTCTTCAGTGTCTTCTATCAGTGCTTTTTTTTAATTGTTGGCATATTTAGTCACATCTGTCTCTTTAGTTGCTATGTGTGACTCTGTCAGTCATTGCCTCTCAATAAAAAATATTTATTCTTTTTTTCCCTTCTCTTTTAGAAAAAGCTAAATATATATAATAACTTGCATTTTGCTTCTTGGCACACAGGTTAGAATAACTTTACACTGTTTGCCCATGACCTGCAGAAAAATAAGCCTTCACAGTTTCTCCTCTAGAAGTAATTCATGTAAATATAAGTCATGGCAGTGTATTCAAAGTATTTTAAATTTTTTTAAATGATAAGTTTTTCAGAAGTACTCTAAATTGTAAATAAATTTTTGTTCTAGGTTATTTTCATATAAGTAATACACTAAAGATTATTAAAAAATTATGTAGTAATCAGGTTTAAGGAAATTAAAATTTTGGTGATGTTCCTATCCCATGATCTTTATGTAGTAAAGGTTTCTAGGTTAGTAAATGGCAGAATTAATATTTAAATCTGAAGGATTCAGGAATATATTCTTTGTAGTAAACCAGATAGTAAGAGTGAATATAATAATTGTTTTATTTTTATTATCTGTTATTTTTGAAATTATTTTTGTTTTTCTAGAATGTCCCCAAAATTAACTTAACAGAACTGTGGGCAGCTGCTCAGCAGTCCAAGAGAGACAGTAAGTCATTTGAAGATGGCCTATTCTTGTGCTGTTCATTCATTTAGAGGTAAATATTTTCATGTATTCTTTTTTTCTATTTTTTTTTTTTTTTTTTTTTTTGGTAATAGAAACAAAATGTGGCATTGAGAGCCTAGGAAATAGTATCCTGTTTGACAATAGTAATTCCAACAGTGAAAATGAAGATGTAGCTGAAATTGGTCCTGGAACATCAGCCAGAGTCCGGACCTCTTCTCTGTCCTGTCCGTCACCTGACCCAGTGGTATGTAAACTCTTTTATCTTTAAAGCTCAGGAATCCCTTTTGATTAGATGGGATTTGGGGGGAGGGGGATCCTTTCTCTTTTCATATCATTATTTCAAATTCTTTTTTCAAGATTTATTTATATGAGCATTCTGCCACATGTATGGATGGATGTAGGCCAGAAGCATCAGGTGCCCTGGAGCTGGACTTACGTCGATGGTTCTGAGCTACCGTGTGGGTGTTGGGAGTTATAGCTGTGCCCTCTGAAGCACAGCAGGTGCTCTCACCTGCGGAGCCATCTCTCCAGCCCCAGGTGCTGCTCTTTCAGCACTCTTCGGGTCTGCCGGCCATGCCCTCTACCCTTCGTTTGGTACAGCTCAGACTGAAGGCACCGACCTTTATCTTACTGTGATCTACTGTCTGCCGTTTTCACTAAACAGTAAATAGGCCCCTGTAAATTGCACTGAAATACTGATGTTGGATGTTTTCCCCACAGGAAGGAGAAACTGAGCCTGCAATTGGAAGAGAAGAAAATGGTACTGATGTTGTTGAAAGTGCTTCACAAGAAAATGGTACTGATATTGCTGAAAGTGCTTCACAAAAAAACGGTGCTGATATTGTCGAAAGTGCTTCTCAAGAAAATGGTGCTGATATTCCCGAAAGGGCTTCACAAGAACAACCAAACCATAGCAATTTAGCCTATGCCAGTGGTTGGCACAAAAGTAATAAAAGTGGT